TACCCCCCGTGCCACTGGCTGGCCAGGAAGAGTGCATTCTTGACTCAAAAGAGGGGCCTCTCTCCCCAAGCCCATACATTTAGAGAAATCCCAGCTGGCTTGCAACCTGAGTTCCTCCAGTCTTGCCATCCCTCACTCCCCCAACGTCCGTCCTAAGCACTCAACGAGAACTCGGTAACTCGCTGCTTGGCCCACGAGTGCCTAAGACCCATGCACCTCGAAAGGTGGCCAGAAAGCACGGCCTGGCTCCTGCTCCACCAGCAGTCCATTTTCAACGAAAAATCTGAATAGACCTAGAGTCCGGGTATCTCTTGGTGCTTGTGAGTTTTCCTGAAGTAATCTTTACCTACCAGGACGAAGAGACCTGGCCCGGCGAAAGGACGACAGGCAGGGATTTCCCTCCGCCCCCACGCCTTCATCACCCCTGCGGACCACAACAACCTGGCCCGCGGGTCCGACCTACACCCACAGCTTCCCTCCACCCTCCCCCGCAAGCTGCAAGGAAACCCTAGGGGACTTTGCGCGCAAGCGACGCCCCGCCCACTGCCCCCAAATTCCAGCTCATCGGACTCGGGACGCGCCGGCAAGTCCCGGAGCCTCGGGGATCACAGGGCACATTCTTCGCCGCCTCCCCTCCCTCTGGGCACGAGGAGCGCCGTGGGCAGAGCGTGCCCGGCTGCAGACAGGAGCGAGAAGGGCGAGCGGGGCGGCCCATCCCGGGGGACCCGCAGGGGCCCGCCAGCTCAGCCCCGGGCGCCGGCTGCAGGGAGCCCCTCCCCCTTCCCTCCAAGGCCCCGCCCGGCCTCCGGGCCTGGAGGCGCAGATGTCCCGAGGAAGAAGAGGTGCTGAAAGAAACAACCGGAAGGCACTTACTTAAAAAGCTACATAGTTTTGCTCCTAGCCCATTTCGGCGCGGCGGCAGCACCTCTGGGCCCCTCGGATCGGACCTCACGGCCCACCACCCCTGCGCGGTGGCTCAGCTCCACAGCCCACCCCTTACTCAGCCGTTGGGCGGGGCGTCGCCCCAAGGCCTCCAATCGGCCCAATGAGCGGCTGTCCTTATCCAGAGTGACATGTACGCAGAGCAATCATTGTATCCAGCCCAGCCAGGGGTGGGGCTCAGGCAACTCACCGCGCTTCCTACTCATGCTGGCTCCGCCCCGAGACACTAACTGCGCGTGCCCAGAACGGGAGGGGGCGGGGCCGAGAGCAGATCTGACATTAGGGGTGGGGTCCAAGCCCGGTAGCTTGAAAGTGGGCTGGACCGCGAGGGAGAAGAACCGGACACCGGAACCGTGCCGCCCTGGGGGTCGCTCTTCACTGCTTGCTTTGGAGGACGGAGGTGCCCAGTCCTATGAGACACAGCACTCCCTTTCGCTAGCAGGGTCGGAGAGACAGTGTCCCTGAGTTCTAGTCCCCATATTAGCATAGACTTTTCGTGAGCGAGAAGTCCTGGGCCTCATTTTTCCCATCTGTAAACTAGGGAAGGGTTGGATCCGCTGAATGCTAACATTCCAAAACTGTAATGGGGTACAGAGGAGGGAGAGACTGGAGACCCACACGTGACCTCGCGCGGGGCCCCGCCTACCACTGATCTAAGGGGTGGAAGCACCGGGGGAGGACAGGTTGTGGCGGGTCCGAGGAACCCCGCCCCGGCTGCCCTTGGCAGCCGCTAAGGCGGAGCGCGCGGCTCAAGCTGCCCTGCTAGCCCCAGGGTCCGCACCGGAGGAGAATGGGGACCGGGACCGCACCCCTAGCTTTGCAGGCAGCCACAGTGGAGTCAAGGGCTGTGCAGAGACACGACGTGTGATTCGAAGCGCATCTGGAGAGGATGGACGAGCGGACCGGAGACAGCTAACGCGACTCCCTCTCCACCCCTTTTCTGCGGAGGCGCACGTCGCGGGTTCCGGTCAGGCTCCTTCGACCGCCGCGGCAGTGCCGAGCGAGTCACCAGCCATGAGGAGCGTTCCGGCAGCCCGGCCCGGAGCCGGCAGCGGAGGTGGACGCGTACTGTCGCGCTGAAGATTTGAAGCCGACCAGGGCGCGGGCGGTCGGACTGCGCTGGAGCGCACCGCTATGGCAAGGGAAGAGTGCAAGGCACTACTAGACGCGCTCAACAAGGCAACCGCGTGCTACCACCACCTCGTGCTGACCGTCGGCGGCTCGGCGGGCTCGCAGAACCTGCGGGAGGAGCTGCAGAAGACGCGCCAGAAGGCTCAGGAGCTGGCGGTGGCCACCCGCGGCCGGGGGCTGACGGTCGCGCGGCGCGACAAAGGCGTGGGAGCCGAGGAGCGCGCCGAATTCGAGCGCCTCTGGGTGGCCTTCTCCGGCTGCCTGGACCTGCTGGAAGTCGACATGCGGCGCGCGCTGGCACTGGGCGGCGCGGTCCCTCTGCACACGCCCCTGAGGCCGCTTGT